CATACCCTGTTTACAGATGTCAGACACAGAAACAAAGAGCTTACAGAGAAAAATAGCTGCTCAGAAAATGTAATATATTTACTTATGTATGTATGCACTACTCTAAGGCTTTTTTTTTTATTTAAAAAAATCTTTGTGGCAGTACATCCGTTCACAAAATGGTTTATTTAATTTTATTGTGAAAAATAAATAAACCACTTTCCCAATGTTTGTGCATCAAAAACATGTTATGTAAGAAAAATCCATGTGTACCATCCATTTGCTTCCGCTTATCCTTTTCAGAGTCACGGGGGACGCTGGAGCCTATCCCAGCTGTCATAGGGCGAGAGGCGGGGAACACCCTGGACGGGTCGCCAGTCTGTCGCAGGGCCAACACACAGAGACAGACAACCATTCGCACTCACATTCACACCTAATGGCAATTTGGATTATCCAATTAACCTATCCCCACAAGCTGCATGTCTTTGGATGGTGGGAGGAAGACGGAGTACCCGAAGGGAACCCACACAAACACGGGGAGAACATGCAAACTCCACACAGAAAGACCCCGGCCTGATGTTGGAATTGAACTCAGGACCTTCTTGCTGTGCGGCAACAGTGCTAACCACCGTGCCACCGTGCTGCCTCCATGTGTACCTTTGACTAATATTTTTTCCAACTGGCAAAAAAGACACTTTTTTTTTTGTTAGGAAGGAAAACGCACTTAGATATGAAGAAGCAATAATTTGTGTCATGCTATTTATTTTTTTCATTAGGTGAAGATGCAATTATGAAACTTACATAAACATTTTTTAGAGTAAAGAAAGTTGCTGTTTTTGTACTTATCTTTGTTTTTTAAATCATGAAAACTTTTTAATATCCTTATGGGTCTGACAACTTATTCTTTGGTTGGTCTACAGATGTTTGGTGTTATTGTGTTTCTCTGGCACAGTACTACACAGCAGTGTCTTTAGGTTGCACATTGGTCCCCTTGAGTGTGACTGTTTTGCGGGAAGAGTCTAAGCTGATACTGAACTTGTTCTTTAATGGATCTTTGTATGTGGCCCATCCAACTCCTGCACTTCCAATCCACTCCAGTCCTTCCCCTGCAAGCTGTCTGATCCAAGCTGTCCAGAAGGTGCTAACAGAATAAGTGACCTGAAAGTTGATGGTCAGATGTTAACAAAGGTCTGGAGTCTTAGAGGCTGACTGTGCCAACTGTTCACACTTTACACCTGTAAACAGAAAAGCATATTTCATAGAAATAAACCATCAAAGTTTTGCTGCTAAAGATAGAGGGCTGGTTGTGAAAGCTCTGTTGGGGTTATATTAAGGCAACATAGAACAAAAAAACAAAAACTAACCATAAACATGGGTGATCCAGTATTTGTCTTTGTGTGCGTTTATCTGAATGAGTCCACGAGCCTCTCTCAGCTGACCTGTTCTGCAATACATATGAAGAGACTGAAGACAGTTTTGTAAGTACTCTACCTCTTCATCAAAGAAATACCGTTTTGATTCACTCACACTTAGCATACATTCATTCTCAGATACAATTTGCATGTGTTGCTTTTCATTGTTAAAGCACTAAAAATGCAGTATATCATAATCTAAACAAAGCTCAGGTAGCAATTACACCAGGTGGTGATATTTAGCTGCTAACAAGCGAGACACTCACTCAATAAAAAATACAGATTAGAATAAAAATGTGAAAGAGTATCAAAGAGTAAAAAGTAAGTAAGTAAGAAGAAGTATTGTTGTTGTAAGAAAAATAACTTATTTATAGCCTTGAGAAGAGGAAGTGAAAAAAACAGAAGGACAGCTGCACAGATGAACATTTCTGCATATGTACATGCATGTCATGCTTTCCTTTCTCCTCAGTTTGCAGGTTTTACTGCCACCTGGAGGTTATTTTTAAATATTTTATAGTCTTACTTTCTTCAAAAGGATATTTGGCACAGTAATACACAATAGAGTGATATTGCTGGACTGTACAAACCTGTGGAAACAAATTTAATTTCAATTGTCACCTAACTATTCAGTATTTCTTTTGTTTTTAGGAGTGTGAATCCACTAAAGGCTCCTTCCAACCTAAGCATTAGAAGTACAGAAAAAAATATGGATTTTAATAAATCTCTATAACAAGGTGTTGGGGTTATTGTACAGCAAGTCAGTTTTCAGTCCATTTCTGAATTGACAAAGTAGATTATGGGCCAGCAGTTTGTTCCAAGAGCTTAATATGGAAATCATTTCTGCTGTCAGGCTCTTAATCTCAAGATACTGACTTCTGCTGGAGTGTGAAAGCAGTCAAAGCAGTCATGATAAGACAGCTTTGAAAAGGACTGCTATAGCTAGCAGAGTTTGAGCCTGTATTCATCCACCCAATCCACCCCAGAGCTCTCCCTGGTCTCTAGACAGCATACATGACATTTTCACTCTTTCTCTCTCCAGGTCTTTTTATTACCGAAGAAGACTGCTCCAGCTTGATCCCACTCCAAACTCCTTTGATAAAAAATAAAATAAATCACACTTTCATTTCTTCTCTTTTTAATCTTTCTTCCCAGTGTAGTAAACTGGATATGTTACTGTGAGAGTAACATATCCAGTTTTCTCACAGGATATTTAATATAAAAATCCTTCTTTTTGTAAAAGTAGGGACATCTTTTTTCTTCTTTTTTTTGTACTGATGAAAACTGTTGGAGGTTGTACAGCAGCTCAAACAACTCAACAATCACTATGAGTTTTTGGTCCTGTGCTAAATTGGCAAAATATAGTATTATTTAATAACTTAGTCAGAATCCACTTCAGTCCCTTTCTAAGACCCCATCTGACCTTCTGTATCTAGTTTTTTACTGTACATTAATTGAAAAGCTGTAAAAGTTCATCTGTGTGACTCACCAGAAGGACATTCTGGCTCCTGGTTCTCTTTAAGAAAAATGATAAAGAAGAAAAACATCACTTTCTGTAAGTAAAACTGCTCTATCATCATCATCTCAACATCTCGTGCATGCTATCTCATTATCACATCCAGCCTATTCATTTATATCCTCTTTAATAGATATTTGTTTTTTGTCTATATCCTTTGACTTATTTCAGCTAACCTAATGAGTCCTGGCTTTTCCAGTGATATATAATGTGTTTGGTTGGCCTCTTTTAGCTCCAAAGAGGCTGACAATTAGAAAATGTTAAACTGAAAGATGACTATTTGAGGTTTTTGTACAGCTGTTCTTCTGTTTTCTGTCACTGTGCTTTCTCGGGCACAGAAGTAAACAGCAGAATCTTCTGCTGTCAGGCTGTTGATTTCAAGGTACTGTTTGCTGCTGGAATCTTCTGCAGTCATGATGAAACGACTTTGGAAAGAACTGGCATAGCGAGCAGAGTTTGAGCCTGTGTTCATCCTCCCAATCCACTCCAGAGCTCTCCCTGGCCTCTGTCGTATCCAGTGCAAATAGTAGTCTGTCGGGGTATAACCAGATATGATGCATGACAGCTTCACTCTCTCTCCAGGCCTCTTCACCTCAGAGGGAGACTGCTCCAGTTTGATCTCACTCCAAACTCCTGCAAGAAAAAAAAGAAAAACAAATACAAAAGTTATCATCATCATATCATCTTCCTGTTTCAATGAATGAATCCCTTTCTTACCATGGAAACATATAATGAATAATAAACTCCAGGAAGTAATATAATCCATAATTTAGAGCAACTTTATAATCAGAATGTTTGTGCAGTTAAAACGTGTCCAAAGCTGTTCTGTAAAGAAACTAAATGGGAACTGATGATGATGTGTTTATATCTGAGCAAAACTTTGCATAGACCTCCCACAACAGGAGCTTGTTGGTATTACAAGAAAACGATAAAGACTTGTATCTCTCTTGTATCCTGTGCAAATAATGGCTTGTCAGGCTATAACCAGACAGCATACATGACATCTTGACTCTCTCTCCAGGTCTTTACATCTCAGGGGGAGACAAACTCAAAATGAAGAAGAAATAGTAGAAGCAGTGATCATCACAGTAAGTTATTTTTCAGTAATGTGCTTAATATGAGGAGGAGTCAAATTTAAACATTAGCTCTCTTCAGTTCAAAGGATAGCAAAAAACCCAGAAGTGACACGGTTGACTACAGAGTCCAGAATCACTCATTAAATTTGTCTTCAGTGTTTTAAAGAAAACATAATTTGCCATAATTTAAAGCTGTTTATAGTCAGAGATTGTTTTTCTGGTTAAAAAAGAAAAGAACTGCAAGAAGTTCTGTGATGAACAATTGTAATAGTGGAGCAAAAGTTTGAATAGATCTCTCTCTACAGGAGAAATTTAGTATTCAAATACTCATTTACACAGCTAAGTATTTTATTATGTGATACGATATCATGAGTATTTTTGCCGTAATACTTAAGCTTATAAACATCATGAGAATCTTATTCTCACTTGACCAGATTATTTACAGAGGGATGGTTTGTGAATGCTGCAGAATTGATGCGATGCTGATCTACATTTCTCATTGCTTTGCATGTAGTGCAGGAGGAATCAGCAGTATATTTTTGATGATACATTTCTCATGTACTGTGGATAATTGCTATCCAGAGTTAGACCTTAAAGTGTTTGTAAGATATAATATAGTATGCAAAATTAATAAAATATATGTTTTACTTTATTGGGAGTGAAAAAATATTCTATAAAGTGAATTTAAAATTTTATTTAAGTGAATCTAATGAAACCATCAGGATTTTGTACAGCTGCTCAGCAGCTTCTGTCACTGTGGGTGTCGAGCACAATAATAAACAGCAGAATCTTCAGTCTTCAGGCTGTTCATCTGCAGATACAGCTGCTGTCTGCTGTTGTCTCTGGAGACAGTAAACCTGCCTTGAACTGACTGAGAGTAGTAGTTGGTGGCACTGTTAG